ACGGATTCCGTGGTGGTATCCAGATTCTTGGTGTTTCAGACAAAGAATTGAATGAAACACGCCGATAGTGAAAAGAAAGGCAAGTTTATTAGGTAGAAGTGGAAGTACACTCCTGAGAGGTAGGAATGGGCTTGAGCAGAGAGAGAGAGAAGCTCAAAAGGCCCCAGCAGTTACATCTTGTGAGGTTTATAATGTTTTCATCTGTTTGGTCTTCGGAAAATCATGATATATTTTTCTGTGTTTTTCTCTGCAAAACTGTATCATGACTTTTTTAGAGGTCCAGCAGATCGTTTCGGTTAATGATTGAGCGCATTGATTGTTCTCATCTCATTGGATATCAAAGGTGGCTTCATCGGCTAGACATCCCCTACTAATCTTTGTTCCTACATTCCATGGGGCAAGGAATCTTCTGCCCTCATCCAGTTTTTCTATCTAGCTACATACGCAGATGCTCCTGCCCCTTACCTGCTTTGATTTGCTAGCTTTCTCCTGCCCCGAAATTAATACAGACTACAAGTGATGATAACATTTTTTAAGCAAAGGCAATTGTAGGCCCTAAAATTAAGTACTTTTTAGTAAGTGATAGGAAGTAGAACTATATAATAATGTTAGATATTTAATGTTAATAATTACCGTGACAGGTTAACAAGCTGGGCATAAAGTAATAAAGTCAGAAAAGTTTTTTTCTTTCTTCCCTTCTTTCTTTCTGCCCTCCCTCCTTTTCTTTTTCTTCCTGTCTCTGTCTTTCTCTTTCTTTTCTACCAGATGGCATGTATACTCACCAGAGGGAGAGGGGAAAAAACTTCCCCCCAGTGGGACATGGTCACACCATAATTCTTTCTCCCCCATTTCTCCATCCTTTTGAGATTTTGAGTGTGCAAATACTTACACTTAGCATTTGAACAGCTGTTGGCCATGTGGGATCTGGCTCCCTTAACCACTAGGCTATGGGGCCAACCCACCTAAGGTTTTTTAATCCCTATAACTTTGGGAGCTCTGCTTCTGTAGTTACCTTTTCATAAGTTAGAAATGCCTCAGTAATTCCCCTGTTTTAATAAGATATTACTAATGAGCCACCCTTTTTTAAAATTTGGTACCCAGTAAAGACAATTAGAATCCAGTCCAAAATTATGGAAGGGGTAAGCCTGTTCTGTTTGGCACCATTTACATATATTTCCTTATTTGAAAAAAATGCAGATATTTATATCTGTACATAGAAACAGATGTTACTAAGTGACATGATTGGTGAGACTTAGGTTCTAAAAAGACTGAGTTGCCTCCTCACCAAACTCCTTTTACTGCCTGCTCTACAGAATTTTTCTTAACTCAACAGAATTGAATCATACTCAGATCATACTGTACATTTAACTTCCTCAAAATCAGCTAATACAGCAGACAAAAAAGACAGTTCGTTTATTTAAGCCGGTCAACACCATTTCCTATCTTCAAACTTGACCTTACTCTTCACCGTGAAAGAAAATTTGACGGAGGGACCAGCAGGTGGCGTGGTGGTTAAGGTGCTGGGCATTTGTACATGGCCAACCATGGTTCATGTCCCGGACCTGGTGTCATGCTTTCTCACTTTCCTTCTCTTCCCTCTGTGTGTCTCTCACTGGTCAAATTAAAATAAATGAATCAATAAATAAAATTAAATTAATATTTTTTTAAAAGAAAATTTGTCAAAAGCTCATCTTACTGACTTTTGAGCTTCTTGGGGCCCAAGTTTTGACAATATGGTGATAATGTAAGAGTTTTCAAAGGTATTTTTAACTCTATGTCTTTATCTAGTGCCTTTAGCATTTAACCTCTACTTTGGAGTACAGCTTTACTGTATGGTTAGACTTTTTTCTTCTGTACTTTTTAATTTACCAAAGGGTGCATGTACTCTAGAGAGAGTAGGAGGGAGAGAAAACACCCCCTCCTCCATGAGCCCCTTGCCTCTATTTTGCCATCCTTGGGGGATTTGGTGACCAGTGTGTTTTCAAGCCACTAGGACCAGGACTCAAACAATCTGGTTAGTTATATGAGATCTACCACCTTAACCACCAGGCCACATTCCTGGCCTTGGTTCTACTTTTTTGTTCTGTTCTGATTTGCTATAGGACATCCCCTAGGGAAGATGGCCATGCCACAGTTCCTTCTCAGGATTTTGTGCACTTGCGTCCCTCATGTTTTTCACGCTACCAGGTCTGAGACTTGAACCACACAGTCAGCCATGTAGGATCTAGCCGACTTAACCACTACACCACCTAGCTGGCCCCTGGTTCTACTTTATGATGCAGCTTTCTATATTACTAATTACTTAATAGCCTATAAAAGGTTTTGTTTTTTAGTTTGTTTTTGTTTTTGTTTTTTAGTTTTTTCTATAATGTGCATGCGCTCACCAGAGAGGGGTGATAAGTGGGAAGTCACCCTTCCCCCATGAGGATGGCCATGCTGCAGCCCTTTCTCCTCCATATTCTTCGCTTGGGGTTTTAGGCGCACACACACACACACACACACACACACACACACACGCGCGCACATATGCCTGGCCCATTTCTTAAACCACAAGTCCTGAACATGAACCATCAAGTCAGCCATGTGGAATCCAGCCACCTTAACCACTGTGCCACTGGCTGGCCTGACAGATAAAAGATTTATGTTGTCACTCATCACCAGTAACAAACTGGAACTAGGAAAGATTAACTATTGAGGCTGTTAATGTGTGTGTGTAGAGGGGCAATCCATGATCTCTATATCAGAGTAAAAATGTGATGTTCAAAGTAAAATTAGATCTTGTGACTTTACTATGGCAAATTAAAACCATCAGATTGGCAAAGGTTCAATGTTGAAAGTTAAATCGTGTTACACAGAGCATGAGGGGAAAGTCCCACATTGTAGGTGGTCAGATAAGTTATTAAGCCATTTTATGAGGGAGGGCATTTTGGTGATATTAAAATTTACAATGTATATTATTTTAAACCTAGTAATTCCACTTTTAGGAAATCAGTCTATAAATCATCATCTTCTTTTTTAAGAGAGATTTTTGCTATAGGGTGTGTACAATCACCAGAGAGACAGAGAGAGACAGAAAGTGAGAAATAACCCTCCCTGGGGTGGGTAGCCATACCACAGTCTCTTCTCCTTTCTCCCTTTCAGGATGTTGGACACGCTTTCACACACACCTGGTATGAGTTTTAAGCTGCCAGGTCTGGGACTCAAATTGTAGTCAACTACCTGGTAGTCTGTTGACATAAGCATTATGCCATCTGCTGGTCTGACTAGTCTGTAAATATTCCTGCACAGTGGATATTAGTTGTAGTATCTCTGATAATAGCATAAAACTGGAAACAACCCAAACATCTTGCTGTTAAGAGTCTGAGTAAATAAAGTATGATAGAACAGTATACCTGGTGATAGTTAAAAATCAAGGAAATTTATATGAACTGATATGGGGCAGTCTCTAAAATACATTTTGAAAAAGTAGAGAGCAGTGTTTATAATGTGCTATTCTCTCAGAGAAAGAGATAGACATAATTATGCTTATCATACTGTTTTTTGTTTTTTTTTTTTAATTTGCTATAGGATGTATGCAGTTTCCAGAAAGAAAGAGAAAGTGAGAGAGCACTCCCCAGTGGGGATGGCCACACCACAATCCCTTCTCCTCTTAGAATTTTGGGCATGCACGCACATATGCCTAGCATGTCTCTCAAGCCGTCTGGTTCAGGATTCAAACCATGTAGTCAACAATGTGTAATCCGGCTGCCTTAACCAGCACGCTACTGGTCCCCATAGCCATACTTCATAAATGCTTGATCTGTGCTTGATTTTACGTGTATGTACATGTGTATATGTTTTATACCGCCATATGCCATCTCTGAGAAAATGTGCAAGAAACTGCTAATAGGATTTGCCTTTGGACAGGAGATCTCAGAAGCTAGGAGACTTAACTTTTACCTGTTGTATTTGATATCATTCACATGTATTTGCTTATTCAAAAGGACAGAGGGCCAGTCTTGGGGTGAAGTGGTTAAGGGAGCCAGATCTCATATGGCCAGCTGCATAGTTTGAGTCCCAGCCCTAGCAGGTTGAAAAACACACCAGGCACATGTGCATGCATTCCCAAAAATCCCAACAGGATAGAGACATGGAGGAGAAGGGGTTGTGGGTAACCACACCCCACTGGGATATGCTTTCTCCCTCTCCTCCCTGATAAGTGTACACACCCTCTGGCTTAGAAAAAACAACAACATACATCAATACTTACATCTATATATAGAAACAAAACAAAAAGTAATTTCAACTAAGGAGAATAAGAGGAAATATGGTTTCTGGGCTGACTCGAAGAGCAGTGGTTAAGTGCTGTGCATAGAAATGCATATCCAACAATACATATTCAAATCCCCGCTCCAGTGGCTTAAAAAAACATGTCAGGTGCATCTGTGTGTGTGCCCAAGACCCAGACAGGATGGAGAAATGGAAGGGAAAGGATTGCAATATGACCATGCCCTAATGAGGGATGTTTTCTCTCTTTCTCTCTTTTTCTGGAAAGTATACCACTCCCTCTGACAATTAAAAAATTATGCTTCTTTTTACGAAAAGGAAATACGTTTCTATACCGAGTTCTGGAAAATCTGTGACATAACCCTCTGGATCGTAGAATAATAATAATAATGATAATACCATACTGTTATAGGTGTTTTGAATGTCTCAGTTAAGGAAACTTTTCTACCCGGTTGAGAACCCCCTACCCTGATTTATCTTTGAATAATGAGCCTTGGATCTGTCTTCTAATATTCTGGCACCATTCTGTATCTGATAGAATTGTGTTGCTTCATGCACGTGGCAGTTGGAGTAAGTAATTGTCATTTAGAAATATGCAGTAGTGCATATTTATATTATATAGTTGTATGAAAAGGATAGAAACCAAAAGAGCTAAACAGTGTTGGTGACATTTATTTTTAGCTTCCTAGCAAATCGTTTTTGAATACCGTGCACCCTCATGTACTTTGTTTTAGGCACGAATGCTCATCACGGAAGAAAACCTAATGACCATTATCATTAAGACTTTTATGGATCATTTGAGACATCGAGATGCCCAGGGCAGATTTCAGTTTGAACGATATACTGCTTTACAAGCTTTCAAGTTTAGGAGAGTTCAGAGCCTTATTTTGGATCTCAAGTAAGTTTTTATTTAATTATCAAACTGCTTGCAACTTGTAAAATGTCAATGTTTATGTGTTTATTACTACTTTTATCTGTTCAGGTATGTGTTAATAAGCAAACCAACAGAATGGTCAGATGAACTGAGACAGAAGTTCCTAGAAGGATTCGATGCCTTTTTGGAATTACTGAAATGTATGCAGGTATGTATAAACTGAAGTACTTTTCCCTTCTTTCTTTCTTCTCTTCTTTCTTTTTTTAAACTGTCATTCATTGAACTGAATACCTTTCTGTCTGTATTTTTGTTCATCTGGGGCATATTTCCAAAAGATCAATTCGGATGACTACAACTTGTACCAAAAAACTCCTCTTTTAATTGGAATCTCTTAGAAAGATGTGGAGTGAATGAGATCCTAGCAAAGTTTGTAGTATCTACAGCTCTTTTGTACTGGCAATTCTTTTGGTTGCCGTTACTATTCTTTCTCTAGAGTTTGCAAGTTCTCTGTTTTTGTTTTTATTTTTGAATGCTCTTACTTGGGAAGTGTACCGAGTTAGTTGAGGAATATAGTTTTGTTGGTTTTGTAAATGTTTCAGTATTTCTTTTTGTCTTCTTGATATGATAGTATGTAATATAGTGTAGGACTTTTTCCTACTTAATGTTTTTTGAAAACATTCCCATATGTGAAACAGAATCTATAAATAGATACTAACAGGTATATTTAGCCATTTTAACTGTGAGAAGATAGGTAACATTTTTAAAAGTCTGAGCAAGTGGTATTATGATTCCCTTAGTAGCCAACTGGCCCTCTTAAGAAAAGGAATAATTGGGAACCAGCAGTTAGCATAATGGCTATGTCGCTGGACTCCCACGTAGTCGACCGCGGTTCGTGTCCTGGACCCGGTGGCTTAAAACTCACGCCGGGCGCGTGTGCGTGCGTGCCCA